AGACCCCCGAATATGCCCGATCAGAGTTGTGCTGTCCTTTTTGCAGCAGGGGTTGGAGCGAAGGCTGTCTCCCTCCACCCTTAAAGTCTACGTGGCTGCCATTGCTGCCAGCCACGACCCCGTGGAAGGGAAGTTGGTGGGGAAGCATGACCTGGTCATCAGGTTCCCTAGGGGGGCGAGAAGGCTAAATCCTCCACGACCCCCCCCTATGACCTCTCTGGAGTGCTCACAGCACTACAGCAGGGCCCATTTGAGCCTTTGCAGACAGTCGAGCTGAAGTTTCTGTCAATAAAAACTCTGCTCCTGCTTGCACTGGCCTCCATCAAGAGGGTAGGGGACCTGCACGCATTTTTGGTCGACGATTCCTGCCTAGAGTTTGGGCCGGCTGACTACCAGGTAATCCTGAGGCACCGGCCCGGCTATGTGCCCAAGGTTCCCACTACTCCCTTCAGGGATCAGGTGGTGAGCCTGCAAGCGCTGCCCCCGGAGGAGGCAGACCAGCCCTGTGCATCTGCTGCCTACTTATACTCACGCTGTGATCAGCGGCAGCTGGATGCAATAATCGCATGCCAATGTGCATTGGTTCGTTTAGTTTACACTCGAAGTAGATTGGTCTCTCTAAGCAAGATCCCAATTCGTCGGTCACCGACGTGACGTCTCCGTTCCCTCCTTCAGGGAACGAGGGTTACATATGTAACCGAGACGTTTCTTTACATTAGGTTAGATTTATGCTAAAAATAAGAAAAACATTTTTGTAAAATAAAAACATTTTTGTAAAATAAATACACTTTAATATCTTATGCAATTTTGCTTCTCAAGATTATAATACTGCGACTTAAAAAGAAAAAAAATCAAAAAGTGTATCAGTTATGGTATGTTAAAAAACTCTCAAGAAGAGAATAAACGTTGAGTAGTCACTGTTAAAATGCCAAAACATAAAATATTGATTAATTACTAAATCAATATTAAAATATTGATTAATTCAAGTCAAGATTCATGTCTTTCTGCAGAGGGAAAGCTTTCCCTACATAGTGCAGAGTTAGATATGCAGGTTTTGTCTGGCCGATATTCCCTCTCTCTCCATCTTGCTCAATACTATATAATTTATATCTAGTGTACTATGCCTTAGGGGTATGGACATGTGCTGCTCTATAGCAGTGTGCACATATGAGTGTGCCTATAAATATATGTGATAACTGATTAGATAACCATCTCTCTGCCCCTCAGAAAAACAATACAGTATAATAAGGTAAAAATAAAGTGTATTTTTGTTGGGGTGGAAAGGAAACATGTATTTATCACTGTTTGTTAAGAAAAAGTGCTTTATACCAAAACTTGATATTTTTTATATGAAGAAGTACACGTGCTTGTCAAATCAATATTAGTTCAGCATGAACTGCTTGATTATAATAGTATTGTGTTGTGTTGTTTTTCACCTCATATCTGTAGGATAACTACCACAGCTGCTTGTATGATGGATTTGCGCAGATACCCGCTGGATGAGCAGAACTGCACGCTGGAGATTGAAAGTTGTAAGTGCTGTTTGTGGTTTAATCTTTAAAGGGTTAGTTCACCCAAAAATGAAAATTAGCCCATAATTTACTCACCCTCAAGTCATCCTAGGTGTATATGACTTTCTTCTTTCAGACGAATCCAGTCGGAGTTATATTAAAAATGGTCTTTGATCTTTCAAGCTGTTTAATGCCACTCAGCAGGTGTTGCATGAATCCATCCAAAAGCAGTTAAATAAAATGCGCCCATCCATAAAAAAAAGTGTCTCACACGGCTCCGGGGGGTGAACAAAGGCCTTCTGTAGCGAATCGATGCGTTTTTGTAAGAAAAATATCCATATTCAAAACGTAATAATCACTTTAATGTAGCTTGCGCTCACTGTTGTACACTGGAAGCAGTTCCGGGGGAATGACGTATGGAGGTCAGCTTTGCGCATGTGCCGCTCAGGAGTGACGCACGCGGAAGCGCAGGGGAGAGATCAAAACAAAACAACAGTCACTAATTAGAAGTACCGTCTGAAAGAAGAAAGTCATATACACCTAGGATGACTTGAGGGTGAGTAATTTATGGGCTAATTTTCATTTTTGGGTGAACTAACCCTTTAACAACCATTAATAACTCAGTTGGCTTAATCGCAGTTTATCACTTATATCAGTAATAACTGTGGAAAAACCCTATAGGAAGATAATTCAAATTCATTATAGTTTTGTACCTGATGAAAACATCGAATAGACAAAAAGTGGCTTTTGAATCAGTTTAGTTCCATAGTTCCAAGTAACATTCACAAACAGAGTCGCAAAGTTGTGTGGTTGGAACTACAGCTCTGTGACCTGTGATTTGAAGCATAGTTTCTAGTTAGTATGATGTGAATATAGAAAATAAGCAAGCTGACATGCTGTACAATCTATATTGTTCATATACGTAAAATGTAATTTTTAATCTTTTAGTTAGTCATGAGAATGAAAGTTTTGTTTTTGAAGAGTGTGCATGGGCAGATATAGAGGTTCCCTCTATTAACCCGAGGGAACCCTCAGTATGATGTAAGAGGAACCTGTGATTGAATCAAACATCTGAAAATAAAGCAAAACAACAGAAAACAAAAGCAGCAATTTAGTCTTCCAATGCCATGTTCATTATTTACAGCAATAATCTGACACTAATTAGATCTCAGTTTGCAGAAGTTATTACTCCACTACTTGTGTGACATCAACAACAGTTTTATATTGTTGAACCAATGTGGTTCGAACAACTGATGTGTGACCAGAGCTGGGTAGATTATTTACAAATTGTAGTCTGTTACTGATTACAGATTTTAATCCAACAGGTAGCTGAAATTGTCCGCACACTTGAAACATCCAATCAGACCAAAAAAGGTCTATCAAAAATATAGTTTTTTATTTTCCATATGCAAAAGTGAAAAAGTGACAAAAGTGCAAAGTGTCTTAAAAACAGACCAAAGAGCAGACGTACCATTAAACGTACCATATTGATATAAAAAAGCAACGAGAAAGAATTCCTTGAAATATTTCTTTCTTTCTGTCTGTCTTTGTGAATATGGTATTACACAGTAGAAAGGAAAATTTTTTGAAATGTTTAGAAATGGAAATTTAAAAGAGGAAAAAAGAAGAATTAGAAAAAAATTATTTTATGAATAATTTACTGGCATTGTGGGAATATGTAATCATGTAATCCATAAAAAAGTAACTGTAATCTGATTATGAGAATTTTTAAATGTAATATACTCTTAATTACAAGTAGATCCAGATACATGATACAAATCTAAATCCAGATTACATGTAATTAGTTACTACCCAGCACTTTGTGTGACAGTTACTACAGTTTGTGAAACAGTCATGACTAGTTAATTTTTCCAAAGATGTATAGTACTATGGTGGTTAAGCAGCGAATTGTATGGGAAACGCACCCCAGGGCAGACTTGGGGGCCATTCACACAGGACATGTTGTTGTATTCTGTATTTGTTGTATTGTTGTATTCTGCTTTTTTTAAAGTACTGTATGTACATTCAGCTTTTGCATCACATCTTTTTCAGCATCTTATGCATTTTTAAGACACACGTCTTAAGCATTGAGTGTTTCCTGAACTCTGTTACTTGTGTTCCAACTTGCTGTTCTTAATAATATGAACATGTCCTATGTGAAAGGCATCACCTCTGAAGAGGTTAATATAGTAAATATAGTAATTCAAGCTTGTATTGCTCCTTAGGTAGGAAAATTGCCTCACATTATTCTTTTTAATTAACTGCACTAAAAATACTTTATATATATAGAATGAATCCAGAAAAACATTTTTATACAACACAACTATTACATCCTAGATCCTACCAACATGAAAGTCCAGTTGTCACTGAAAGTATTACATAAAGATGCTGAAATTTCTTTATTGCATGCAATTGCAAGCAACAGTTGCAATGCAGCAAAAATACTGGTGCAATCAGTTGTGTAATCATAATGCATTTATGCATCATCTCTTTTATCATGACAAACACCTGCAGAGAATCAGGTTGTGTTGACTAATCTCTCTGTTTCGTCTTTCTTAGTCTCTGCGAATGTCTTACTCTGTCACTCTTTCTTTTTGCTCTCTTTCATCTCCTCTACTCCATCTCTTTTGCACTTTGTCTCTCTCGGTGTGACAGACAGTGTTTGTAATTGGGTGTCTGCTCTGTTGGGCAGACAGCTGTAGCCCTGCGAGGCTGCTGTCATGTCAGAGCACAGCTTGAAGGAGAAACCACAACATCACAGCAGACATAAACCATGTCACTTTCACACGGTAGACATAAACCATGCCACCTTCACCACATACACATCATCCATGGGACAAGACAAGATCAGACTCACTGTAATGTAGGCAAAAATACTTTCCACAAGTAGGGTGTTCTTAAAGAGATAGTTCACCCAAAAATGAAAATTATGTCATTTTCTCCCCCTCACGTTTGAAAATAAGGACCATTAAAATATTTATTAAAGGGGTCATATGATGCGATTTCAAGTTTTCCTTTCTCTTTGGAGTGTTACAAGCTGATAGTGCATAGATAAGATCCCTGAAGTTGCAAAGACTAAAGTCTCAAAATAACTTCTAGTGATTTAATAATTGAAGACAGAATTGTCCTTTTTGGGCAAAATATCCCTTATTTTTTTTAACAAACCAAAATTAGAGATCTCAGTACAGCTTAGTTATAAACATTAAAGCATCAAAAACTACATAAAACAATAAAAACGTAATTTGCCAGTTAACAAGGTTGCAAATTTAGCTTATGATCAAATTTGTAGTTATTGATAAACTTATTTCCTATAAATTATAGAAAAATAATGGATCAGTTTTCATATAATAACTTGGGCAATAGTTACAGATATAGATATATATGCAGTATAGTCAATCACACACAGGGTGCTTTTTGAGAAACTTAGATGCTTAGATCTTTCATTGAATTTTTTTTTTTACATGTTTGTAGGAAGAAAATCATGTAACAGGGTTTAATGCAAAATGTGGAACAGATAAATATTATGGTTTTGTTAGTGGACTTAATATTTAAATACAATATTTTTACAACAAGTGATTTGAATATCAATTTACATTATGCAACAACAATACAACACTGTTATTTTGGTACAGTTAACAGGCTAACAATCATTTTGGGACAGTCATGGGACACCCTATTTGTAGAAAACGGCGACATTTAATCAAACATCACAAATTTGACATGCGATCTCAGATTCAAACATTAAAGAGGAGAGGACTTCAAATGACAGAAAAATTCAGAGAGCATTGCAGAGTGGGAAGAGTAGACCTTCATGAGGATTATCGCTGTGCTTCAGTCACTCAGGACTCTAGGCTGATGTTTCTTTTGATTGAACTTAATGAAGAACAGGGAGAATGGACTATCACAAGACTTCATCCTCTAATTAAGCTTTAATGTTCTGCAGTACTGTGCTGTCCTGGAGATAAGCGCAGAGTCTGCAGGGACAATCTTGTCAGTTAGACCTGGACCAAACCTCTCACAGAAGTGTTCTCACTGTAATCACATGCTGATTTACACCACTGACAGAGGCAGCTTTTCCCATGCTGTTTTGTGACTGTGTTTTTCTGAATGTTTCTGTCCCTCTTTTGTCTCTCAGATGGCTACACCACAGATGACATTGAGTTCTACTGGCAGGGAGGAAGTTCAGTGACAGGGGTGGACAACATTGAGCTGCCGCAATTCTCTATTATTGATTATAAAACACTGTCTACGAAAGCGGTGTTTGCCACAGGTGCAGTGCGCTCCCTGCATGTTCATGAGATGAATAGACTTTCTTTCGAGATGAGTCAGCCCTCGACTGTCCTTCAGAACTACTGTATGCCAAGATTACCTTCGGTTCACAACTGTTCAAAAATCAATCTTTCAAATGAAGTTGTGTTTTATTTGTAAGCACAGAAAAATGATATGTGTGTAGTTGTAATGCTGTTCTGATATTAAAGACATGATGCAGTTTGCTGAGACATAAAGTCTGGTCCAACATGCAGCTTGTTCTTGTCAAGACCCGCCAAGTTAGTAATCTAAAATGTTAAATGACCAACCACAATGTATACTGTGTATACCAGCAGTAAGATTTTTTTTTTAAATAAATTAATTCTTTTATTCAGCAAGGATACATTAAAATTGATCAAAAGTGACAGAAAAGTTCTAAAACAGTTTCTGTTTGAAATAAATGCTGTTCTTTTTAACTTTCTATTCATTAAATAATTCTGAAAAAAAAGATATCCTTGTTTCCATAAAAATATTAAGCATCAAATCAGCATATCGTAATGATTTCTGAAGGATCATGTGACTTTGAAGACTGCTGAAAATTCAGCTTTGGCATCATAGGAATACATTTCATTTTAAAATATATTCAAATAGTAAACAGTTGCTTTAAATAGTAATGATATTTCACAATATTACTGTTTTACTGTATTTTCGATTTTTGAGTATAAGAGATACATTAAAATATCTGACTGACTCTTTGAATTCTAGTGTACTGTAAGGTTTCTCATCTGAATGTGTTTTTGTGTACTACACTGAAAGTACTTTCATTTCTCACTTTCAGGGTCATATCCTCGTCTGTCTCTCAGTTTTAAACTGAAGAGAAACATTGGATATTTCATCCTGCAGACCTACATGCCTTCAACATTGATCACCATCCTGTCCTGGGTCTCTTTCTGGATCAACTATGATGCTTCCGCTGCAAGAGTTGCGCTAGGTGTGTGTTTGTGTGAGCACACTTTCGTTGCACTTTCTCTTCACCTCACTTTTTCCCAATACTTCTTAAATTTACTTTTGATGTCAACCAGTTTCTAAATAAGCTTTTTCAAACATTGTAATACTTTAGGAATCACCACCGTTCTGACTATGACCACAATCAACACTCATCTTAGGGAGACTTTACCCAAGATCCCTTATGTGAAGGCCATAGACATCTATCTGATGGGCTGCTTTGTCTTTGTGTTCCTGGCCTTGCTCGAGTATGCCTTCGTCAACTACATATTCTTCGGCCGTGGTCCACACTTGCAGAAGAAAGTGGCAGAAAAAGCTGCAAAAAGCAACAATGAGAAGAGTCGCTTGGAGAGTAACAAAGTTCAGGTGGGTCTAGGGATGCACCGATCCAATACTCAGTATTGGTATCGGCTACGAGACTGGCATCTTCTGCCGGAACGGGTATTTGTCAGAGGAGACCGATCCAAATATGATATTCTGCGTTTAATATTCTGTTATTGTTAAGCCCCACGAAAAAAACACAAAGTTCTCGTGAACTATATTCCAAGTGTTTTAAAGCTGTTCCATAGTTCAATGTTAGGTACAGTTGAATATCCAAAAAAGTCAAGTTCACGTAAACTCTTCTCTCCGCTGCGGCTGTCAGTCATCCTCCATTCAGCGCTCAAACTGTGTCGCGTTTGGTTACGACAGTCCAAGAGTACACAGTAACTGAAGTTTAAAACTGTTAAAAGAAAAGGCTCAATAAACTATTACACAGATATCACAGATAGCATCAGTATCTCTTCTCTTTGTACTTCTCTATGCAGAGCGCTGCACACTGTGACTGCGTGTTGCTTCAAGCGCATCATTCTGAGCATGGGATGCACATAAGTGCTTCGTGCCGCTTTGTATTGAAGCCTTTCGTATTATAATACTTTTGCGCAATGAAAGACTACTAATAGCCTTTCTTGTTCTGTCCTATCATATGTTGCTGCCTCCATTACTGTGCTATACATTTAAAAGAAGTGTCTTTTAATTTATAGTATATATTTATAAATAAATATATTTTCTTGTTTTTCATGAATGTATTTTAGAGCAATGTAACATTTTACCAGATTTAGTCCTACACTTATTCACTTATATTTGTTCCCCACTAAATAGTGTTATTTCACTAAATGTTTAGATTTTATAAAATTATTGTGCACTCGTGATTTTTCTAGAATAACTTTTGCTGCTGAATTATCCACTTACGTAGTTTATAATAGTATTTTTGTCATAGATTTTGATTATATATTTTTTCATTTGTTATTTTTCTTTAAAATGAAGTTGTCTATATTTAGTAGATTGTGTTTAACACACAAAACAGTGATGGACAGGTTAACACACTGATGTATAGAAATTTTATCTTGATTTAAAAAAACAGTGCTGGAATCGGATCGGTGGTATCAGTGCATCCCTAGGTGGGTCTTTGACCCTTTAACCTGTTCCACATTTACTTCAAGTTGCACCAATTTAATTTTTTCATTACACTGTAAAAAATTATTTTTTTCAAAGTTGCTGTTGGTTTTATGTATAAACCTTTTGTAAGAAGAATCACTAAAGCTTACCTCTTTTCTTTGCTTATGTACTCTTTTTTTCCATTAAAGGTTGATGTACATGGAAACATTCCCCTGACAAACCTTGACCTGCGCCTTAGCGGGGCAGAGATGTTAGGTGCTCTTGGGGACCCGAGGAACACCATGTTCTCTTATGATAGTGCCAGCATCCAATACCGAAAGCCCCTTACAGGTCGGGACCTCTACGGCCGGCCCACTGCCTCTGTCGAGAGGCCAATGGCAGGAAAAAAGAGTCGTCTAAGGAGGCGAGCCGCTCAGCTAAAGGTGAAGATTCCAGACCTGACAGACGTAAACGCCATCGACAAGTGGTCACGTGTCCTCTTTCCCATCACCTACACCTTCTTCAACTTAGTATACTGGTTGTATTATGTCCACTAGGGAGCAGCACTGGCTCGACCCAGCCATTCACACATCAGGTCAGGCTCTCTTACCCTCCTTGTGGTTTTGACCATCAGTCAGACAGGAGGAGGAGGTGTATTCGGTAGGTAAACTATAAAGCATATATCAAATAAATCTGTTATAATTTTTAAATAAGACAAAATAACTTAAAATGACTACCCAACTTTTAAAGCTGTTTATTGTAGATTATGTCACAAATATTAGTTTAAAATTGTCACAGATTTTTTCACTTTGCTTCTGTAGGATCAGCTTCACTGACTGCAGAAAGTACAGCTTCACAATGGAGAGAAAAAGGCTTTTCTTTAGAGACGACTGACCTGCAGCTGTAGACAGGCTTAAATCTTTAAAACAGCATTTGGAAGTTGATTTTATCATCCATCTTGCATATATTGGAGGACTGAAGGTCTTAAAGGGATGTTCTTGGTTTATTACAAGCTGTATTGACAACATTAGTGGTATAAATTTCATTACAACAGAAAATAATTTTAACTAATCCCTCAGGTTTTATAATAAATAATTGCAATTGGGAAAGGAATTACAAATGACTTTTGTCTGGTACTTTTATACACTGTAGATTTAATTAAAGATTTATCACTTTGTTTTACAACAATGCAAGCATTTAGGTATTTTTTAGTGAAATTGTTTCTGTTTGAGGTCAATATGACCCTGGCAAAAGATTAGGAAGATTAGTAAAAGTCTTGAAGTGTCAGCCTAATTCTGTTTGGTATTTGTGGTATTAGTATTTAAACGTGGTTACAGTAAGACACTTACAATGGAAGTACATGTGCCAGACAATTGAAATGATAATACCACATAACATAAGTCATTCATATTGGCATGACATGCTGGTAAATACGGGCGATATGCTCAAGGATACCTGAAATTGATGTACCAGTTGTACTCTGCTTACATGGAGCAAGCTCCACCTGCAAGACTAAATGTACAGTATCATATACTTTTATAGTTACTGAAGACAAGTTAATTTACCTCTAACGAAAACCTGGAACATTCCTTTAAAATCAAGACCTTCTGCCCCAGTTTAGACACATCACATACTGTAGATTAAACCTGTTTGTCTTAGTAAGACTTTAGCAACTGTGCTACCAAGAAATGGGCAAAAGAGCTCATCGTTTGGGTTACAGTATTTATAGGGCTTGGCTAAGGCTACACTTCAAAAAAATATTATCTGTCTATATGTAACACACTTGTTCTCTATTATCAAATGTAGTCAGCCTGCCAGGAACGGATGTCCTTACATCAGCATGACGACACATGATGACAAGCAGGATACGAGTTTAAAGTCCTCACAGTGTGTACATTTGTACATTAAAACAAATCAGGTATTGAAAGATGAATGATGTCATCATGTTTTTCTCTACTTTTTCTTATAAACCAACAAATCCTGCATATTTCATTCATAGCAGCAGTTGAATTTTTTACTGTAAAGCCCAATATATAAAATCCAGATTCATTAGCAAGAGGTTAAAAGACAAAACGGTTTCAGGAAAGGGATATATTATTTCCTGTTGTTCAGTATTTGACTCAGCATTCCTAACATTATTGCAATCAAAATGTAGCTATGATTTTAGATATGGGCATTGTTTTAGGGATGTAGTTATAACTATTTATATAGGAAGTGACTTCACAGTATTTACCTTTCACATTTGCATTTTAGCTTTAAACTGCTATTCACTGTGAGTTATATATTATCCAAGCTCACCAAAATGGCTAATAGGACTTAATAACAAATTAGATTTTTCTTCTTTATGGCTGAACTTGTGCCTTTCAAGAAAAAAAAAAAGAATTTTAGAGGGTTTAACATACAACAGCAGAGTAGAAATATTCTGAATGGATTTCCACTTTTCTATAGAACAAATATTACTTAAGGGTGCCACACATAATTAAAAATAAAGGTACTTTCAAGGGCTTTTCAAATGCCCTGCATTAATATTCAGTATAATATTAGAAATACATCAAATGCATTTGGCATGTTAATAAATTGCTTGCATTGCAACACTCTTTTTGTTTCAGTGACAATCTGACTGGGACATGAGCTGCTCAGTTTATTGTCCAGGAGTGAATTAACTTTACGAAATTCTCCATTAATGCTAATCAAAGACTGGCAATGTAAAAACAAAGCATATTCACACGCTCCAGCCAGAATCAGCATGAATACACAAACACGGACACATAAAAGTTAAGTTATATTTAACTTTTGATAGGCCATCTATCATTCATACATGGTGTTTTGGCTTGAGATGCCTACAACAGCAAATGCCAAAAAAAAAAGGATTTTTAAAAACAGTATCCTATTATCTGTGTATGATTTCTGTAATTGCACTCATGCTATCGGCCAGTGCACTTTCGTGTAGATGTGGAGTGTGTTGAAGGAGAATTTACTGTCACTGAATGAGACAGGGTGTTTGTATTTGAGTTTATGTATTTAAGCCTAGGACTGCAACCACAGTTGTTCTTAAGGATACTTTATTTTAAATCATAGACATTTTGAATGAATTCAAATAAAATATCTCACCAAGCATAATGTGAAGAGCTGATTTTTGTACTCGATTGCTTTTTTGTTGCATTACCACATGGCATTGGTGTTTTTGTGAGCTGGGAAGTCTAATAATCAATTATGGACACTGAAAAGGGTTAATTGTTCTCATAAACCAATCACCCTTGCCTCTTCAGGGAATGAACCTATTAAGATGATCTGACAGTAATGAAGACAAAATTCCATTCATACAATTTACTTGATTTAATCCACTTCAACATGTGCACACCAAATCTATTAATCAGGATTACAAGTGAGTGGTGTCACATGATCGCGTCAAAAAGTCTGGGGGTTTCTGCCTTTTTTCTGCCTATTAGTCATAGTGTTGACTTGCATTGGCAAAAACTCAAGTGTTCACATTCAATGTTTTTAGTTACTTTATTTAGAAAGGCAACCTTTTGGGGTGTGAAATCAAAATGCATTTGCATTTCATGGAGAATTGAAAGCAAGATCTGTGGCAGGCATTTTGCTTTTCATAGTGCAAAATACTCAGCCTCAAAACGACCCTGCCACCATTACTTAGGCAACTTCGCACACCAAATCTATTAATCAGGATTACAAGTGTGTGGTGTCACATGATCGCGTCAAAAAGTCTGGGGGTTTCTGCCTATTAGTCATAGTGTTGACTTGCATTGGCAAAAACTCAAGTGTTGACATTCAATGTTTTTAGTTACTTTATTTAGAAAGGCAACCTTTTGGGGTGTGAAATCAAAATGCATTTGCATTTCATGGAGAATTGAAAGCAAGATCTGTGGCAGGCATTTTGCTTTTCATAGTGCAAAATACTCAGCCTCAAAACGACCCTGCCACCATTACTTAGGCAACTTCAAGTCAACTGTGGTCCATACTGATGGAGCTTGAACAATAATATTCAGTCCTTCATGAACACCTCAGGAGAGACACTGACAGGTTCTCGGTTCTGTCCGTAAGGTTTCCGTTTGCCCACATGCAGGCATTGTCTCATAATGAAAAGTATGATGGCACAGAACCATCTTTCGCTGGTATCTTCATTTCATCTGCAACACAACCTAGAATAGGACACATAATGCCAGGAGAATTAAGTGTAGGTGCCACTATTGTCTATTTACAGGCCATTACCTTTCAACATTTTACCTGATAAAAACTCACCTTCAGTCCTTTAATTAACATCTTTTGAAGCAAAAAGCTGCGTATTTGTAATAAAGAAATCCATCATTAATGAGCTTTTAATTTCAAGCTGTTGGCTTCCAGCCAAAATACCAGTCTATATCTATATTCCATAATAATGAAAAAGTCCATCCCCTGTTGTCTTTTTTACATCATAATCTACCAACTTATTTGCTTAGAACTATTTTCACCTATAAACAGTGCTTGATCAGTGCATATTTCTCTCCTGATCAGAATTTTTCACTGAAGAAAGCAATAATATGGATAGAGGACTCTATCAAAAGCAATGGTTTGAAGATAAAAATGGCTTAATGATGGATTAGTTGCTTACAAACAGATTTTCATAGATGGAAGACTAGAGCTTTCTTATGGATTATTGTGATGTTTTAGAACCATCTTTCGCTGGTATCTTCATTTCATCTGCAACACAACCTAGAATAGGACACATAATGCCAGGAGAGTTAAGTGTAGGTGCCACTATTGTCTATTTACAGGCCATTACCTTTCAACATTTTACCTGATAAAAACTCAACTTCAGTCCTTTAATTAACATCTTTTGAAGCAAAAAGCTGCGTATTTGTAATAAAGAAATCCATCATTAATGAGCTTTTAATTTCAAGCTGTTGGCTTCCAGCCAAAATACCAGTCTATATCTATATTCCATAATAATGAAAAAGTCCATCCCCTGTTGTCTTTTTTACATCATAATCTACCAACTTATTTGCTTAGAACTATTTTCACCTATAAACAGTGCTTGATCAGTGCATATTTCTCTCCTGATCAGAATTTTTCACTGAAGAAAGCAATAATATGGATAGAGGACTCTATCAAAAGCAATGGTTTGAAGATAAAAATGGCTTAATGATGGATTAGTTGCTTACAAACAGATTTTCATAGATGGAAGACTAGAGCTTTCTTATGGATTATTGTGATGTTTTATCAGCTGTTTGAACTCTCGTTCAAACAGCACCCATTCACTGCAGAGGATCTAGTGCTGAGCAAATAATGTAGTGCTAAATTTCTCCAAACCTGTTTTGATTAACAAACAAACTCATCTACACCTTGGATGGCCTGAGGGTGAGTAAATATTCATTTATGGGTGAACTATTCCTTGAAACATTACCTTATTAGCAGCCTCTAGTGCACTGATGAGAGTTTGCAGCTCCTCTTTGTTCATTTCTATATTCACCGTTCTCTGAATTCCATTCTCTTTCAGGTCCAGATTAAGATTTAGCAGAGGAGTGTTTAAAGATGACAGCTTGTCGCTGGATAATGCCAGCTAGAGTGAGACAGAAGGAAAGGGAAGAGGAAGTAAGAAAGCAAACAACAAATGGGAAAATCAATAGATGATCTTATCACCGTGATTAATGCATGTGTGTATATATGTGCTTGGTGCACCTTTAACTGCCAGTTGAAGTCCTGAAGCTGTGTGCTTGAGATGCCATTGGTTCTGTCCACCAAAGCATGTCTGATCTCATCAAACCTGGAGCGCACACACTGGAGAACAGCCTCAGCATGTGCCGTGTCCAAATCACTCAGCCGCTCCTGGATCTTCAGACGTGGGTGCAAAATAATCAGTTAGTCATGTTTAGTCAACCACTAAATCAGCTTGAACACTGACATGATTCTGTACACAGATATGTTTATATGTCTGGTCAGATTCATCTACTTGCCTCTTGATCTGAACAGCCCCTTCCTACAGCAAAGCGGATAAAAGAGGAAAGAGTGTTCATTAACTCCACCCATTCTGTCAGACTCCACCGTTCACCGTAATCTGTTCGCCTCGGACCACTTCGGCCGCACACCCCATCCACCACCCTGTGTATGAGCTGACAATACAAAAAGGAGTTGAAGTATGTGACATGTAGGCCAAGTATGGTAATCCGTACTTGGAATTTGTCCTCTGCGTTCACCCCTTCCACGTGATCACACACAGAAGTGAGTAGTGAACACACACCCGGAGCAGTGGGCAAACTTTTGCTGTGGCATGCAGGAGCAATTTGGAGCTCGGTGCCTCGCTCAAGGGCACCTCAGTTGTGGGTAATGAGGGTGGAAAAGAGTGCTGTTCATTCACCTACTTTGGTTAGAGAGTCGGACTTGTAACCTGAAGGTCATGGGTTTGAGTCTCAGTACTGTTCCGGCAGGAAATGTAGGTCAAGGGAGTGAATGAACAGCACTCTCTTCCACACTCAATAACTTCAATACCCACACTCAGCTTGACACCACACTCTGCACACTCATTAACAACAAAAGTATGTTTGTGTGTTCACTACTCACTGCTGTGTGTGTGTGTGTGTGCACTAGGATGGGTGAAATGCAGAGCACAAATTCTGAGTATGGGTTAGTTACGCCACTTTCAGTGTTGAACTTGTACAGTATGATGAAGTTTTGCCAATTTTTGATTTGTTACTGTCAAACAATGTATTAAGCCATATACTACTAACTGTAATGGTAATGTACAATAATGCTAAAAGTTTTGTTGAAGCTCATAAATATTGAATTTCAAATGCTAAGTTGCATAATTGTATATAATTTTAATTTCTCGAGTAAATATACAATTCAAAATATGAAATTTGGCCACAATGTTTATTGCTTGATATGGCATGCATCAGGGCTGACGCATATTTCAAAACGTTATATTTTTTCATTAACTTGGGTCTGCTTTAAACATTTCAATAATCTTTTACAGATTTACCGCAATTTTAAACCACAGATATCTTTTTTGTGTAAAAGTATGACTTCAAATTGGTTTTTAAGGTAAATAATCCACAAGTCAGAAATGAACTATACATCTAAATAAAAGTATCTGGTTTAAATTTGAATTTGTTTTCACCAATTAGACGGTTTAAATTAAACAGCAATTTCATGAGTAAAACGCAATATGATTACGAGCAGCATGGCTGTTCTCAAACTGATGGCATGTGCTACTGACGCGAGAACAGAATAACTGCATCTATTTGTGCATATGTATTATTTGCTAAATACTATTATGTGTAGGAAACTGCTGTTACTTACTTTAGGACATTCTTCAGATGGTAGTTTTTCGAGAAATTTGATCATAATGCTGTCAGTCGTCTTCCTCAGCGTCAATGATGTCAGCTGATCGAACGTCACGTGACTTCTGTCGCGTCTTCAGGATGTTGCGCTGCACACTGTTGGGATCATAGATAAAAGATACATATCTATGGTTGGGATTTATTAATGAAAAATTGTACATATTAATTACATTTACGTGTTATAGTCTAACTATTTCAATGTTGTCACATTTACCAAACTAAAAAAAAAACAACGGAAGTAGTCGTTCATACAATTTCAAAATATAAGTTTAAATGATAAATTAACAGTAAACATTTGAAATTAGATCCAGATTTAAAATAAATGTATTTTTACACAATTGAACAAAAAAATTCAAAAAGACAGATTTTGTACAAACGTTTCCCACATCTTAAAACAAAGAGACTAAATTTAATTTAGTCTTAGTTACAAGATGTACTATTCAGAAATTATATATTGTACTTAAAATCCTTTGGAAATGTTGGTAGTTAATTACGGTTATATACATTTTACGTCCAAAAAAACGATTCTGTTTTATTTCGATTGCCAAAGCATGATAATACGTGTTGCGCAAAGAGAAACTTGGAAACTTGTGGATGTATGCCTGTGGCTGTTGATCAGAGCACACAGGATCCTCACGCGCTAGGCGAGCTCATGCAGGGAAAAGGTTCTCCGATGTAGGTCACTGTAAGACATATAACGGTTAAATACAATAGCTGAAAAGCTGACGCATGATTTGTCCAGGAGCTTACTCTGAAATGTGGCCAAGTCCATGACTCGACGGTAAGTTTAAGGCTTTGTTATCTTAAATATGCATTGGCTGCTGCCTTGTTTCCCATCCAGACGCCTCAGTCTTTATTGAGTCCTTTAAGAAGTGCATGCACATACTGGGCCATAAAGCCGACATAAACATTTTATGATTTTACACTCTTTTTGACCTGCATTCACTCGAGGTCACATGCACATCTATTGTACACGCTTCATATGTGTCTGTGAATGTGTTTCCGGATGTGTAAAAACGGAGCTTTTCTCTTTTTAAAACCAAAATTTAAAGCACCATGATATTTTCATCGCGATCTTTTCCCGTCTTATGAGTAGCACGTGATTCACTGAAACATTTGTTTGTACAAACTTAGAAACATTTGTTTGTACATCTCGCAGTCATTATTGTATTGCATAGCATTATATGTTTCCCCCAATTAAAAACTACACAAATCTAAGCATTTAAATATCATCTTACTGAAGACATATTATTTGGACATACAGAGCGACAACTGATATTTATGTACATTTGTGTAAGTGCTCTGCTATACTATTACAAAGATCATTGTTTTACATTACAAGAATTCTGAATTTCATCTTACTTGTAGGCAATGTAAATAACAGAAAAAGTGATTTTTCCTGACTTTTACTTAATATGTCAAGCGTTACAGGGTTGAAGAATTGATTATATTAATTCTAATTCTAATTTTGATTTTGCAGCAAATAGCAGAAGAGTTGGCGTAGAATGATGTGGTTAGCTTTAGATGTGGTTAGTCACCATTGAATGCTGGGTAGAGGATAGAATATACTAGTTCTTGGTTAGTTAAGCTAGATAAAGTCTTCATCTAATGTTTTTTTTTACATTTATTTGTTTGTTACTATTTGGTTGTTCTTATTTTGTTTAGAAAACCAGTTAAATAAAATATGTCCATGGTCACCTGTTATCGTTTTTGTTTTAGAGAGACATTTTTCTCCTTCCTCATTTCGGGTCATGTCATTCTTGCAGTATGTCTGCCACAGAGAGAAACCTCTTGTAATTTGGCCTATGTGAAATGTAAGATGGTTTATTTGAATCTAGTCAAACACTTCTTCCTCTTCCCTTGTTATAGGGAAGTATGAGGTTAACTTGAAAATGGTATTAGCTCCAGGCACAACTTCTGCGGTTTGCTTTGTCACAAGTTAAGCCTGTTCAACAGGATTCAAAAAGAGAAGAAATGGCAGGTTGCAAGTAATTTACTGTACGGATTTATATTAATTATTGTTTATGTGTTCAGGAGGTGGGCTGTTTGTAGCGTACACGGGGACTTCGCCATTTTGTCTCCTCAGGCTCTGGGATCTCATCATCCTCATGGAGCGACTCTACTGGGTTCGTCACAGATGTCTGCAGCTGATATCCACAGACAGGAGGAGGGGCTGGTACTCTCCTCCTTCATCACTTCCCGCGAAGAGTAGTCTGGACGCTCAGGACCCTCTGGTTCAGCGGCTCACTGGAAAGAGAAGAGTGGTGGTGTCACGATGTGGTCCACACCAAGCAGAGTACCACAGCTTCTCCAAGGGCTTTCAAGACAACAGCATCCGGACCACCAAGTACACCCTCATCAGCTTCATACCCATGAATCTTTTCCAGCAGTTTCACAGGTCAGATATTGAGCTGAATATATATCATGTATTGTCTAAATTATTTGATAGCATGTTGTTGTTTATGTTTTTTTGTGTGAGTTACTGACACATTTGGTTCTGACTATAGAGCAGCAAATCTGTACTTCCTGTTCTTGGTGTTGCTGAATTGGGTCCCAGTGGTGGAAGCATTTCAGAAGGAGATTACCATGATCCCGCTAGCCATGGTGCTCACAGTCATTGCCTTCAAAGACGCCATGGAGGACTACAGACGTTACCGCTATGACAAGAAAATAAACAACACACTAACACATGTCTACAGTGGGTCAGTATTTGTTCATCCCTGTTAATATGATGTGGTCAATGATAAGACTTTCATGATCATGTGACACTGTTTCTGCTACTGTGTGGGTGTTTTGGGTGAGTTTTGTAACTTCCTTTTCTGATTTGAGGAATACACATAGTAACTTATATTTGGTTATTTCCCTGTATTTTCCCCATATTGCGTGAGTTTAAATTAAACAGCAATTTCATGAGTAAAACGCAATATGATTACGAGCAGCATGGCTGTTCTCAAACTGATGGCATGTGCTACTGACGCGAGAACAGAATAACTGCATCTATTTGTGCATATGTATTATTTGCTAAATACTATTATGTGTAGGAAACTGCTGTTACTTACTTTAGGACATTCTTCAGATGGTAGTTTTTCGAGAAATTTGATCATAATGCTGTCAGTCGTCTTCCTCAGCGTCAATGATGTCAGCTGATCGAACGTCACGTGACTTCTGTCGCGTCTTCAGGATGTTGCGCTGCACACTGTTGGGATCATAGATAAAAGATACATATCTATGGTTGGGATTTATTAATGAAAAATTGTACATATTAATTACATTTACGTGTTATAGTCTAACTATTTCAATGTTGTCACATTTACCAAACTTTAAAAAAAAAGAACGGAAGTAGTCGTTCATACAATTTCAAAATATAAGTTTAAATGATAAATTAACAGTAAACATTTGAAATTAGATCCAGATTTAAAATAAATGTATTTTTACACAATTGAACAAAAAAATTCAAAAAGACAGATTTTGTACAAACGTTTCCCACATCTTAAAACAAAGAGACTAAATTTAATTTAGTCTTAGTTACAAGATGTACTATTCAGAAATTATATATTGTACTTAAAATCCTTTGGAAATGTTGGTAGTTAATTACGGTTATATACATTTTACGTCCAAAAAAAGGATTCCGTTTTATTTCGATTGCCAAAGCATGATAATACGTGTTGCGCCAAGAGAAACTTGGAAACTTGTGGGTGTATGCCTGTGGCTGTTGATCAGAGCACACAGGATCCTCACGCGCTAGGCGAGCTCATGCAGGGAAAAAGTTCTCCGATGTAGGTCACTGTAAGACATATAACGGTTAAATACAATAGCTGAAAAGCTGACGCATGATTTGTCCAGGAGCTTACTCTGAAATGTGGCCAAGTCCATGACTCGACGGTAAGTTTAAGGCTTTGTTATCTTAAATATGCATTGGCTGCTGCCTTGTTTCCCATCCAGACGCCTCAGTCTTTATTGAGTCCTTTAAGAAGTGCATGCACATACTGGGCCATAAAGCCGACATAAACATTTTATGATTTTACACTCTTTTTGACCTGCATTCACTCGAGGTCACATGCACATCTATTGTACACGCTTCATATGTGTCTGTGAATGTGTTTCCGGATGTGTAAAAACGGAGCTTTTCTCTTTTTAAAACCAAAATTTAAAGCACCATGATATTTTCATCGCGATCTTTTCCCGTCTTATGAGTAGCACGTGATTCACTGAAACATTTGTTTGTACAAACTGAGAAACATTTGTTTGTACATCTCGCAGTCATTATTGTATTGCATAGCATTATATGTTTCCCCCAATTAAAAACTACACAAATCTAAGCATTTAAATATCATCTTACTGAAGACATATTATTTGGACATACAGAGCGACAACTGATATTTATGTACATTTGTGTAAGTGCTCTGCTATACTATTACAAAGATCATTGTTTTACATTACAAGAATTCTGAATTTCATCTTACTTGTAGGCAATGTAAATAACAGAAAAAGTGATTTTTCCTGACTTTTACTTAATATGTCAAGCGTTACAGGGTTGAAGAATTGATTATATTAATTCTAATTCTAATTTTGATTTTGCAGCAAATAGCAGAAGAGTTGGCGTAGAATGATGTGGTTAGCTTTAGATGTGGTTAGTCACCATTGAATGCTGGGTAGAGGATAGAATATACTAGTTCTTGGTTAGTTAAGCTAGATAAAGTCTTCATCTAATGCTTTTTTTTACATTTATTTGTTTGTTACTATTTGGTTGTTCTTATTTTGTTTAGAAAACCAGTTAAATAAAATATGTCCATGGTCACCTGTTATCGTTTTTGTTTTAGAGAGACATTTTTCTCCTTCCTCATTTCGGGTCATGTCATTCTTGCAGTATGTCTGCCACAGAGAGAAACCTCTTGTAATTTGGCCTATGTGAAATGTAAGATGGTTTATTTGAATCTAGTCAAACACTTCTTCCTCTTCCCTTGTTATAGGGAAGTATGAGGTTAACTTGAAAATGGTATTAGCTCCAGGCACAACTTCTGCGGTTTGCTTTGTCACAAGTTAAGCCTGTTCAACAGGATTCAAAAAGAGAAGAAATGGCAGGTTGCAAGTAATTTACTGTACGGATTTATATTAATTATTGTTTATGTGTTCAGGAGGTGGGCTGTTTGTAGCGTACACGGGGACTTCGCCATTTTGTCTCCTCAGGCTCTGGGATCTCATCATCCTCATGGAGCGACTCTACTGGGTTCGTCACAGATGTCTGCAGCTGATATCCACAGACAGGAGGAGGGGCTGGTACTCTCCTCCTTCATCACTTCCCGCGAAGAGTAGTCTGGACGCTCAGGACCCTCTGGTTCAGCGGCTCACTGGAAAGAGAAGAGTGGTGGTGTCACGATGTGGTCCACACCAAGCAGAGTACCACAGCTTCTCCAAGGGCTTTCAAGACAACAGCATCCGGACCACCAAGTACACCCTCATCAGCTTCATACCCATGAATCTTTTCCAGCAGTTTCACAGGTCAGATATTGAGCTGAATATATATCATGTATTGTCTAAATTATTTGATAGCATGTTGTTGTTTATGTTTTTTTGTGTGAGTTACTGACACATTTGGTTCTGACTATAGAGCAGCAAATCTGTACTTCCTGTTCTTGGTGTTGCTGAATTGGGTCCCAGTGGTGGAAGCATTTCAGAAGGAGATTACCATGATCCCGCTAGCCATGGTGCTCACAGTCATTGCCTTCAAAGACGCCATGGAGGACTACAGACGTTACCGCTATGACAAGAAAATAAACAACACACTAACACATGTCTACAGTGGGTCAGTATTTGTTCATCCCTGTTAATATGATGTGGTCAATGATAAGACTTTCATGATCATGTGACACTGTTTCTGCTACTGTGTGGGTGTTTTGGGTGAGTTTTGTAACTTCCTTTTCTGATTTGAGGAATACACATAGTAACTTATATTTGGTTATTTCCCTGTATTTTCCCCATATTGCGTGATGACCTGTTTCAAGGTAAATGCCTAGTGAGGGTAGCTTGTGTTCTACCAGGCAAAGACTGATGAATAACTATGAGGCCCATACTGTAGAA